CAAGTTTTCAGAAGATTCTTCTGCTTAACCTAGTACAATCTCTTTCCGAGACAGCTTTATACAAGATGGCCATTGAAATTTATTCGCGCACATTTTTTGCTAGAAATTCTGATGCATCAGAGAGGGCTACAGTAAACACTCGAAAATGTTGTTTACAGAGCTTTTCCTTGAAAATATTATTTGAAAATTGGGAATTTGAGCCTATCTCCGTTTGAACGCAGTGTGTACGGTAGGTGGAGCAGAGCAATATGAGAGTTGACAACTGCCTCGTTACTCCAAAAGTAGGACGGTGAAATGCACACTGTCGTTCAGTTTTGGGACTTCGAAGATGGGGTTTCTCAACCAGTGGGGCTCAAGTTTGTTAATACTGGGTCAGTAAGGTCGAGTGCTGTTCATTCATCATTGAAACGTAAAAAGAGACTAGGAAGGAGTGGGGTTTACCTAAGGATCACTCAAAAGCAACCTACCAAGTTATCAATCTCAGTCAACCTGTATCAAACTCGCTTAGTGAGACAAAAGCACTGACTTGTGCTTGGACTGGAGCTCGTAAATAACTGCATAGGCCACAGCCTAGTCAAGGACTCAAACGATTTCAACTGCGAGTAGAAAGCGTGGAGGCATCTACAAACGAGGTAGGTAAACGCCAGAACTGAAATCGATGAGATGCTCATCCCAACTTGAAGGTTCCCCACAAAATTCATATCTCCACAACGCAAAGAGAAATGTTTCGAAAAAAGTGACAGTCAAACTGATCCAAGCAGTCCGGTCGCAACCGTTTTCATGACTTGGTCTCACTAACAATTAGAAGGTTCTCAGTCCAGCAGCAAATTTCTGTCTGAACCGTGCCTTCCACCACAATGTTGTGGAGAAGTTACCCTTCCGTGAAAAATACCATGCCTGTGATGGCAAATTGAGAGAAGCCCTTCTCAACATAATTGCTAGTTGTTGCTGAGATCGCCCAAGAAGTTGTGATCTTATCAAACATCTAGCACGAAGAAAACTTCAATTCAAACAATTCAAACAAATTCAAACAAACAACAACAACAAGGAATTCAAACACGAAGAGGTCCTTCTGACTTGGCAGCTCTGGCCTACAGACTGAAAAGCAAGGAAATTCCTGTGAGTTCAGAGAATGGTCACATACATCACTTTGAAATCATTACTCCGTCCAAACAGAATTACGACTTCAATGGTGTCTTATACAAGGGTCTCCGGGAAGCTTCGCATAGTCTACCACCCCTCGACCGTTGATGACTTTATTCATGAGTTTTATTAAGGAAATGAAGGTCCGTTCAGCCCGTAATGCTGGAGAGGAGGTCTTAGCTTTCCTGTATGACTCATAGCGGAACCATTAAAATGTCCTTTGCTAATATTTGAGAATTCTTATGGTGCATTCTCCGATACCCCAGTGTCCTGAGGCTTGTTGACAAAGTGAATCTCTTCAAAAATCCTCTGAAAATGGGCCGTCAAGCTTGGAAATACATTGGATTACTAACGATATCCTCAAGCAATAACTACAGTCTCACTTTTCGTAAGTAAACATGGAGCCAGAATACCAGCTATAAAAGGCTGCAGGTTTCAGCTGGAGACAGGGAACGCATACAATTGCTTCGCTCTTTTTTTTGTTGCTTCCAAAGTTGGTTTGAACATGTATACCTATAGCTATAGATAGGATACATCTCTCCTCATACCCTTAATTCTGATCTTATTCCCTTCTTTTCTCGATAAACCGCAGAAATTTGATTCCCGTGCCCCAACTGACACAGCTACTACACGACCTACTTCTGAAACCTCACGGAGAACGGTTTGTTTCGGGTGATTATGCCAAAATTTCAAAAGGATCTGCCGTGATGAGGCTTATTCAAATGTATGGTTCTGTGCTCGTTTGTGGTCTCACGACAAATCATTTCTATATGGAGCCTATCACATGAACTCTCATCGTGACTAACCGTCATGCAAACCTGGATAAATTAAGCCCCAATCTCCGGTTATCCCCACTACTCCGTTCAGAGGTGGGTAGGAAAACAATAGCCGAACTCACAAAGTTTCCGGTGAGAGGTCTAGGCAATAGGTAAGCTGTAATATTGCTGAACATCTCCCTAACCAGGTCAATGCGTCATGACTAGTCGTCAGTGTCCTGTATCACATATCACCTCGAAGGCAATCTACTGAAAATTACTTAACGATTTCTTTCATCAACATTGCTGTCATCCAGATGACATCACTCCTGCTTCTGCTTTTGTCGCTATGCCTAGCGATAGACGCAATTTGGCGGTGAGTAGTGAATTTTGCTCGAGCTAAAGGGAAATTCATGAAAATGATTTAGGGTGCCCATATCCAAAACAGTTCTTGATCGGAATTCCTATAAAACGGACGCCATAGCTGAATTTCTCAGACAGAAATACATCAAAAACTACACGTTCGGCTCGAACTATGACTATCAGGAGGGGCTCTCCAATTATATGAACGTGAGTAATCTATATGAGTGGACCACCAGTAACAATTCAACACGATCAGTTGCAGAACCAGTACTACGGCACTATCCAGATTGGAACTCCTCCTCAGACATTCAAAGTGCTATTTGACACTGGCTCGTCTAACCTATGGGTTCCGTGCGCAAATTGCCCGTCCTCCAACCAAGCCTGTTTATCCCATCATAAGGTAGATAGCCAAGGAAGTGTAGTGACACCATTGTGGATAATCGATCCATCGTTTTTAGTTCGATTGTGCACATTCGTCAACATGCACCCAAACGTACCAGCCCATTTCGATTCGGTATGGGACGGGCTCTATGCAGGGTTACGTTGATTACGATGTCGTCTGCGTGAGTTTCGGTATACCTCTGCAGAAGTTGTGTACACAGAAGCTTCTGTCTTTTCCAGTTTGGAACGAATCGACAGTACTGTACCAACTACCAACAAGGGTTTACTTGTGCAATGCAAGAGCCTGGAGACACATTTGTTGTGAGTTGAAGTGATGCCTCTTGAGACGAGGTAGGACAATGAGAGGTACATGCTCCCTGTTTTCAGTACGTTCCATTCGACGGCATTCTCGGAATGGCATGGAATTCGATTGCAGAAGGAGGCGTTTCTCAACCTATGACTCAGATCTTTGCTAATAAGGTAATTTTTGTAATGCGTAGAGTATTAATACAAGTTGGTTACGACGCGCGAAATCGTGACGGTGCCCATAGAAAATTCATACAGCGAGTAACGAAGAGTGTAGGAGGTGGGCGGGTAACCATAGATACTTTCACAATTGTGACAACGCAACCATGTAACAGAACCAAAAGCCGATCGCCAAATTAACCCATTGCCTACCGCGTGCTGCAGATGGTGCAGCACTCCCCTTCGCCTCTGTGTCCGCGTTATGGTCCACAATCATGCTATAGTTTTAATAAAGTTCGAACAGCATACTCTTTGCGACTCCTTGAAAAATCCGCTCTGTGTGGCCGCGTGCTGTATACCGTGAGTTACGTCGGTGCGTCGATTCTGAAGGAAACGCCGGGCACATGCGCCTGCCAGCGCGAAACGCCCCGGTACGCAAGCGGTGAACAGAAAATTAGTCTCAATGTGGGGTAGGTGGGCTTGAGGAGAGGTCTTCAGCATGGGAAAGGCCAATCGGCAAATTACCAAGTCTTTGGAGGGCTGTTGTCTAATTCCACACTAGAATCCACCTAGAACAACCAAGCTCTTTATCGTTCCGGGGATAGGTAGCTGCTATTAGCCTTGCCGAGAGGACAAAAAATGCGGGCATACCGGCAGGACTCATAGGGATTTGAGGAGAGGTCTTCAGTACTAATTATAGTTATACTGATTTGTAACATAAGCTGGCCTTCGCAAACTATTTCACGGGTGCCATACGCTTACAGGTGCCTGTACAAATTTGAAGAAGAATTGAATGTGTGGACATCCTTACAATGGTTAGTCAACGGTAAAAGATATCAGACTTCATTGCAGGCAATTTGTCCGGAAGCCGTCTTCGCTTTCTGGCTGAACCGTGACCTCTTCCATAATGTCATCGGTGGAGAGCTGACTCTGTGTGGTATCGACCCGACCCATTATCAGGTACTGTCGTAAGACTTCTGGCAGTTGAATCTGACGATATTTTTCAAGGGCCAAATTGCTTGGGAGCCACTCATCTCGGAGACCTACTGGCAAATACAACTCGGAGGGCTAACCGTCAACGGGCAGCAAATTGTCGATGGACCCGTCGAAGCAATTGTTGACAGTGGCACCTCACTCATTGCAGGACCACCTGCATTGGTCCAAAAGGTGAACTCAATATTACTGAGCTTCAATTCATTACTTCCTTGCTCACATTACGCTTTAGATCCAACAAGCAATCGGAGCAGACGAATCAGGATCGATCGACTGCAGCACTATTCCCAGTCTTCCACAAATCACCTTCATCATCGGTGGCGCAGAGCTGATCATGACGGCAAATAACTACGTTATCCAGGTATGAAATTGGGAATGTTTATACTTGAAAAAGCTGGATCTAGCAGCGTGGCTCTTGAGGGTTGAGAGAGCACATGAGAATCTTCAGCGATACTCGAAGCTAAGAGAGACGGTGGTTACGGTTGACAGGAAATAGGGCTTATTCTCAAATATCGTAAGATGCCTCATGTAAGGAATAATTGTTTACACTTGCTTATAACTCTTATTTTAGTACACCGATGGAACGTGCACATCCGGTTTCCAAAAGTTCCAGGCGCTGCCTACCGGTAAGCTTCTACCATTCAGCCGATGTCTCTTGGTGAGCCTATACTGCGTAATTTCAGATAACTCATGGATCCTCGGTGACGTCTTCATAGGGACCTTCTACTCCATATTTGACCATGCAAACAAGCGAGTTGGATTTGCTGTATCAACTCAGCTTAACTAACGAATATTGTACACAATTTCGAATGCAATAAAAAGATTCTACTGAGTTTTAGCGCATTCTAATACAGATGGGTAATTTCTGATCAGGAAAGAATAAAAGAGCAAGAGGATCCTTAAATCAGCTGGATCATTGGACCTCGACCGACGACAGTCCGACGATCCATCACAACCATCCTAACTTATTTGGACGATCTGCTTGGGCACCGCCGACTAGTACTTCCATCGGCAAGCNCCCCCCCCCCCCCCCCCCTCCCGCCCCATCCATCTTTGGCTAAAATATGACCGGCTTCCTATTCATTTCATTAGTCAATAGCATCGACGCCGCGAACATGATATTATAGCGGAATAAAGATATAGCTGATCAGGTATTGTCAAAGAAGTGGATAGTATTAATAGGGCAGGTTCCATTTCTCCGAACTGGAATATGCCATCTCCTTCAGCTAAATATTTCCGTTTTCGTCCAGTCATCTCGGGAGGGATAATCATCTTGAGTGCTCATGCCTTTTGCCCGTTTTGGACTAGGTGTTTTCTGATGTGGAGAAAGACATCGAAGAAAACTCATGACACTTTTTAGACAACGGCCTCGTATTCATACGTTCCCCAAAGATGGACCTGTCCAGAAGTCGCATAAAATTACAGTACTTCCTTCTAATTTCCTTCCTTATATTCTTTGCTATTCAATCCAGAGCTGTTCGTGGTTTTGAGGGACGTCACTCTTCCCGTCACTAATAAAACTTTTTTGCAAACGGACTTCCGACCCGTATTCTTCAGCAAAAAGGAATCCTGTCGATGAGTTTAGTTTCCAAACTGAGCAGTTGAAGCAGACAAGAGTCACGCACTTGATTCTAAAGAGGTTTCAAGGCTCAGATCACTCTCTATTCTGACCCAAGCGGTTCGCTGCTCAAGGGTGCTGACGAATAAGCTAGTAAAGATCCACGACATCAGCCTTTTTGAATGGTCCCAGAAGTTTCACCGAGCACTCACACTATCTTACGATGAAGCCCTTCCCTTTTTTCTTTTCTGATTACTAGTAGCAAGTCGGGTCAACTAGGGAGGTCCCCCAAGATGCCTCATCTCCTTCAAGCTGGTTTTAGCTTGGCTCGTTAACGAGCTTCACCCAAAAAGCTCAGTAATTATGTTTGCTCCTGAGCACTGTTGGAGACTTTTCCGGCGAAATATCGATAAANTACTTCATTCATTTACTAACATTTTGGCATTGTCCAATACAGCAGCTGATCGTAGGGCTCTGGCTCAGATTGAGCTCGGAAAAAGTTTCCGGTAGAAAGCAGTCTAAGCATTACTAGTCGCACTTTGAAGTCCAAGTCCACTTCGTTCCCAACTTCCCGTACACATCCCAGCAGTACGCCAGCAATTTCGGGGAGTGAGTGCACTTTCCTAATATGATTTTTCCTTAACACTTTCTAATGTATCTCCACTTAAATGAACCCTCTGAACGACTGACTCATGATCGACTCATGTGAGCAACAAAAAATGGTTTCAGAGAATAGGCTCCGATCAGTAAAACATTTCTGTTGAGTAATAGGCTCCTTATGCGATGTAAATTAGCTAAAAATAACCTACTTGTCTCAGTTTTGCCCTTTTTGGATAGCTCGATGATATTAGTATCAAGAAAGAAATAGTGACATTGTTTAAATGATAGACACCTGTAATGAATCAAGCCTATTGCTCCTCAATTACAAATTTCATTACCATCACGTCCCATACTATGAGAAAGAACGACCTTAAAAAATAAGCCTGGATGATCTTTGGACTTTTTAGATAACCCTCGTTGTTCTATTTCAATTACTGAGCCTGCGCCAGAATTATGGGCCTCGATACATTTTTTCAAAATAAGGAACAGTTAAGGGGAATTGAGACGAAAAAATTGAAAAGTCACACTCACTAACTGAATACTCCATCTGTGTGAAACTCGTCAGCGAGGATTGTGTAGGTGGTGCATAATATTGCTGATGGCTGACATGCTGGATAGAATCCATTTTTGCAGCTATTCGGAATGGCTAAAGCTTTGAATGGGGCACTCATCACACAAGCACGATATTAGAGCGGTATGGGGTGATTGCGTTCAGACTTTCAGCTGACACATCGCCGACTCTGACAGATAGTTCGACTGTGGCCACGGCTCTTGCGGCTACAGTCAACTGATGGTCTCAATCTAGGCAGGCAAAGCAGAGCCAGTGGGCGTCGAATGTCGGCGATACACCAACAAAAAGACTGAATGCATATGGTGAACATAAACATAACTTAACAACCGAGGGTAGTGGTGATGAAGGAACTCACCGGCGATTGTTGTTGGGCGCTCCACCTCTGATCGCTCATTGAATATCTGCAATGCAAGGATCTAGGGAGAATCATCAGTTCATGATCTTACTGTGAACTAGCAATAAGGATGCTCCTCCCTAGTTTCCAAATTAAGCCTTTTTCCATCACCCATTGGAACACACCTGCCTGTAGTAAGAGGCAGTCGGCAAGAGAGGCAAGGGCGGGATGAGACGGCAACTGTCGCGACGTCTGGGCTCTCTCATTCATTTCTAGTCTACAGTATACATCTTCTTCTGAGACTAGAAGATGGAGGCACTTTCAGAATGCGTGAGTACTAATCTTCATGACAAAAGCGCATTTTTCGTCGCGCGAACCCTACTGCTTCACTATGTGAACAATTTTGAAATATTGCATGCGTTTCCATGCATGCGCTCCCATAGCCAAGCAGCCAAATTTTTAAGACAGCGCTTCAACCGCGCAAAGCCTGCCAGGTTCATCCAAGCCTTCTTGCTTTGATCAACTTCTGGGACTGCTTGTATTGGTCGAGTATGCAAACGGATATATTTCGACGAAATAGATTTTTTAAATCTATGGCAAACGCAGCAAGGAAAACCGACTTCTTCAAATAACCTTTTCGTCATGAAATCACTATGTAGTACGGAACCGATATTCAAAGATGTTTCGACGTTTCTGTACTTCCGCAAAATAGCATCTCTGGTCATTAATCCTTTCAAAGCGAATACTTACTACCTAGTTTTCATTCAAAAATAAATGAGCGATTGATTAAGCAAACGATTGATTAGAGATGAGAGTATTGAATGACTCGATAGGTAGTGCTGAAGAAAAAACGGGAATCCAAAAAAGACTGACCGTCCATCGGCAACCGGCTCATGCCTTCCACTTGCCATTGAGTAGCTGTATTGACTTCTCTGAAATCTTGATTTTTCAGAATAACGCAGAACAAATAAGCAATAGATCTGGTCGAATCGATCGAAAAACTCGTGAAATGAAAAGGTCATAATCGAGATGATCAAAATTGAGAACCTGGGAAGGTGTCGTAGGATAAGTACGCGAGTCCCATCGTGGAGTAGCCGTCGTATAGTGGTAATAGTAATTGGGTGTGGTCCGTATCTGCGGCTCGAATAAGGGACGATAGTGCACCTCAGCTGTAATTATAATAATTAATAATTATAATTAGTTGTAATTTTACTTGAATTTATTCCAAAAAAGTACAATAGTAGAGATTATCCAACAAAGTATAAAATGAGCCACAATTTTATATCAATGTGGAGAAGGCTCCGATAATGGAAGGCTTGAAATTTCGCGGAGCAGCCCCTCTCCTTCCCAAACAAGCACAAAAAATGAGCATACC